GGCAGCAGCGGGATTTGGGGACACAGCAGCCGCGGGTCCCGGTGGTGATTTTTATCCTGGGTTTTGCGCGGCACCAAACGCTGCTCGGGCTCGTTCCCCGCAGGATCCCTGCGGGAATGCCGCTGTTCCCGGGGCTGTGACCGCGGCTGGCAGCCCCTGAACACTCAGACAGGCCTGCAGGGCACGGAGCAGCGATGCCACCACCGCTCCCGGGGTCAGCGGCACGGCACAAAACCTTCACTCCGCCGCTTTGCTCCAATCTCTCCACAACTCTGGGATGTCTCTGCGGGCAGCCAGCACCGCCTGAGCGGGCTGGGGAGCCCTGGCCACGAGCAGAGGCTGCCGAGGAGGGAGATTCGTGGCTGTGAGCCCGACTGGTCGGGGCACCTGCTGGGCGTGCTGGTGTCGGTGTCTCTCGGGGACGCGTCCCCCGCAGGCTCCAACCCACCCATCCACCCATCCGCCCATCCATCCGCCGCGCTTGTGGGCGACTCTTTCTTCATCCGAAGATTCCCAGATCGATACCGTGCCCTCTGTCAGGGCCGGCGGCATCGCTCCCGGGCGGGGTTTGGAGCTGTGGGTGCGTGCGGAGCTTCCACTCCCCCGAACCGTCCCCCGGTGCTGTCACAGAGCTTTGAGGAGGCTTTTTGCAGGGAAAGGCAAAAAAAAAATAAAAATCCTCAAAGGTGTAGGGAAAGGAGCCCAAGAGAGCTGGAACGGGKGTTTTCAGTCTCATTTTTGAGGTCCCTCTCTAACAAGCTGCTCGCAGAGCTGGGCTCAGTTTTCACCCCAGTTTTTATCCCGGAGCTCTTTCCCAACTTTAATGGTTTTCAGAGGAGACACAGCCCCCAGGAGGGGCGGCTCAGGCTCCACACACCCTCCCTCCTCCGTGCCTGGACATTTCCCTGCCGGGTGCCCCCACCCCCTCCCCAGGCATTTTGGATATTTCTCCTCCCTGCAGCCCCCAGAGGGGCTCAGGCACCTAAAGCACAGAGAATTCAGGTGATGCTCCCAGCCAAGCCGAGCTCCCCCTCCTCCTCCACGGCCAAATTCCACCCTTAAAGCCATCAGGCTGGTTCGCCCTTCGCCCAGGCCCCAAGAGCAGCCGGGAATGAGGGCTTGGGAAAGGYTTTATTTGCTGACACCGTTTGTTTCGGCAAAAATAGAGATGCAGATCCATCCCGGGAGAAGTGTCTGCGCTGGCAGAGCTCCTTTGGTCTGGCTGAACCGCCCAGSCTGCCCCTACCCCAGCTCTGTTTGGGAGCTGGGGCAGAGCAGCACATTTTTAATATGGCCCTGGCCGCAGTGGCGGCTCCTAATAGGGCTGTGGTTAAGAGTTAGGCAGTCCTAAGAYGGATTATTTTTCCCAGAGAGGTTTTGGTTTGKTTTTTTTTCCAGGCCTGATTATCCTCTGCGTATTGCTMAGCTGGCAGAGCTGTGTGGAAGGAGCTGGACATTCAGCCTGCTCTGTTTGGAGGTGTTTTTTGGGGTCRAATTGGGCTTTGYRTYGCTCTGGTTGTAGTGGAAGAGTCCTGAGTGTCCATTAAAAGGTGTTGGTTCTACTCATGTTAGGGAATAATTATTTTGTGTGTGCTCCTCATTCCCAAGGATCCCTTGGAGGATGCTGRTGCTGCACTGCTGTCCACAAGGACATACAAAAGCTGGCCCTAAACCTCCCAAATCAGCAGGTTTTAACCAACAGGAGTTTTAGCAGGCAGAATTTTCCTTTTCTCCCTGCTCATTTTTCCTTTTTTCCCCCCACAAGACATTTAGACTGCAACAACTCGTGCCCATTTATAAGGGGGTTTTGAACCTCGTTGAAAATAAAATTCCTGAGCTCCCTGCATGGGAATCCCAGGGCATCTCCTTATCTCCCAGCTCAGAGGAGGGGATTTGCCTGATGGATAACGTGTGATATGCAATGGAGTTGCAGCAGCAATTCCTCCCTCTGTCCCCACCCAGCCCAGGTTTTCACGGTGTGGGGTCACTCCTGCAGCAGGGACAGAGCTTTTCATGCTTTGCTTCCGTGTCTTCCCTTCCTCAGCTCTTCCTCTCTTGGGAATTAAAGATATTCTTTCCCTGAATTTATATTTTTCACAAGCTTTCAGGCTTTCTCACCAAAGCAAGCACCAAACTTCTGCAGGCTTTTAGATTTTTTTTTTCTTCCTCTATTTTATGAGAACTTGCCTGTTTCTTTTTTTCTATTTTTTTTTAAACACTTTTTGGCAGGCAGCAGAACTTTGTGCTTTGTAGATTGCCTAAGTTAGGGTCCCTTGGCAGTGGTACAAGACRAGAAGATGTTTATAGCTGATGGTAATTACTCTTCCTGCAGTAGAAATGCTTAGAAGCCCCACTAAACGTTCATGTCTTAATTGCAGAGGGTTTATTTGAAAGGGAAAAAAAAAATCCCACAACTCTTTTCTCCCTCCTTTCCCTCCCTCAATCCTTAATATAATTTAAGGAAAGGAAGTTTCTGAAGTATGTGAAAGTTTCTGCACCCCTGGTATAAAATCCTGATTTTTTTTTCTTCTACCTTTATTCATTCGCTGGAGAAAGTTTCAAACTTTTTAACTTGATCCAAGCAATGAAATCTTGGCCAAAAAAAAAAAAGCAGATAATCTGCTGTTTGCACGCTGAAACTTCGAATGTGGGAAAAGAAACCCTGCACACACACAAAACCCTGCCTGTTGTGGTGTGAGCAGCACAGTGAAATGGGGATAAAACCCAATGGGGCTGCTCTGATCCTTGGGGCCGTTTGGGAATAACAGAAGGTGGATATGGGGAAGAGGAAAAGGTTTGCATGATGCTTTTAGGTGGCTTCCACCTGCCTTCCCTACGCCGGCGAAACCACAGCAAACACTGGCCCAACTTCCCCGCTGTTGTTATTCCCCGATGCAAATGGGAAGAGTCTGTGGCCGGGATTGGCTGCAGGAAGCACATGCAAATCACTCGGGTCTTTAAAAAAAAAATTATCTCTCTCTTTTTTTTTTTTTTTTTTTTTTTTTTTTTTTTTTTTTTTTTTTTTGTGTCAGCCCACTAATCTGGAAATGTTAAAATTCCCATGGAAACGGTGGGAAAAAATTGGAAGAGATGTCCCCCCTTGCCCCACTGCTGTGTCCTTGGCCTTTGTTGAGGAGGAAATGTGAATTTGACCGTTCCCACCTTTTCTTGCAGCTGTCCCCGAAGGAGAAAGTGGCCCCGGGTGTGGTGGCAGCCATCACTTCAAGGGTAAATCCCAAATTTCTTGGTGTGGGTCAGGATGGGCTGGGCTGGGGGGGATTTGCAGGGGCTGGACGGGTTGGGTCAGGTCCTGGGTGGTTTGTGAGGGGTGTGAGCACCTGATGGACAGAAAATGGGATCAATCATGTGCAGAGAGGGGCAGTGGGAAAAGCAAACTGAGCTGGAGCCATCCTGAAGGATGAGGAAAGGATTTGGGATAAAGATGGGGAGATCTCCTGCTTCTCCAGGTGTGGGAGGATGGTACAACAATGAGACCACCACAGCAGATTTGGGGAGCCTGAACGGGGCTGGGGGAGAACCAGCAGGGCTGGGGGGCTCCCAGTGCCAAACCCACCCTTTATCCTGGGTGTGAGGAGGGCTGGGAAGGGTAAAAACCCCACAGCAAAGCGGGGAGGGGGGACAGGAGCCAGGGGGGCTGCAAAGAGCAACAGGAGGGAAAGTGCATCCTCAGAGCTGATGAATATTCTAGTGCCTGTATGTTGAGGAATCAGAAATTTGAAAGTCTGATGGTTTATTATAATTACACACATTCATTTGTGCTGTTTAGTGGAAGCCACATGTGCCTGTTGCCTGGGACTGTGACCTGTTATTAAAATCAGTTTGTGCCTCCTTTTTTCCAGAGATCAAGATGAGCGGGGATGCGGCAGATTCCACAGACACCCGGCACGAACCTGACCAGGTGGAGCCAGGTGAGGAGGGTCCGGGGCGCCAGGGAGGGCAAAGAAAAGAAAAAAACGAAAAAAAAAAAAAAGAAAAAAAAAAAAAAAAAAAAAAAAAAAAAAAAAAAAGGAATGTGGGCGCTGGAAGTTTCTCCCCGTGCTTTGCTCCGCTCCTGTTGCTGCTCTTGCAGCCAGCCCGGGAGTTGATCAGGAATGTGCTCTGGGCTAGGATTGCGTTGGTATCTTGATCAGCGATGCAAGATCCCTTCAGTGTGACAAGCAGCGAGTCCCGAGTGCCTCCCTAAAGCTCTGCTGGGCTGGACATGGAAATGGGCTCGCAAAGAAAGGAATGATGGCTTGGGAATGGTCCTGCATCGCACAGGGGCTGTGCCACGAGGTTTTCCTAAGGGAAAACCGCCCTTTTTGGGGCTCTGCGTGTGTGTGTTTGTGGAAAAATGGGAGGGACTTCGGGAATGATCAAATCCAGTTCGGCAGTTGCGGCAGAAGGACTGAGAGGCGTGATTTGGGTTTCTCATCTCACACCTGATGCTGTGCAGGCTCTGGTTCCTCCAAAGAGACTCAGTTTTCCTCAAATCTGGAAAACTGGAGCACGGGGTGAGCCTTTGAGCGGTGTGAACGCTGAATTTCTGCCGGGTTCAGGCACCACGAGGTGTGAGAGGCACCAGAAAAATGGGTTTTGTGTTCTGGGGCATCACTTCCCACCCGCGTAGAGATTTGGATACAAGACCTGAGCCCTGTAATTTCCCCAAGGCCCACGGTCACATCCCTTTGTAGGCAAATGAGCAGCAATGAGGAATCATTTTAGCACCCACGAGGGACAGCAAATTAAGGTTATTACAAGCTGCGCTACAGGCTTAGAAATCAACACCTTTTGAAACAAAAAACTGGTTGGGAAAAAATGTAGAAGAATCAATTTGTTTGAGGAGCCCAAAGCTTGGGCCAGGGGGATGTGTGGGAGAAGGTTAAAACTTTGCATGGAAAGATTTTCCTGTTTCTCTTTCACTGATATCATCTGAGATAACTTGGGGAAAAAAAATGATATTTTGGGTAAGCCAGAGAAGTCCAAGTTTTAAAGGGACTAAACCCATCCCTTTATTTAGGAAACCTCCTTGGCTGTTAGGCTGGCTTATTTGACATGACCTAAAATTGAGATAAAATCTGCTTCTGTCCACATCCACGARCTCTGATTGACTTTGGCCAGCTCAGCTCCTGCTCGGGGCTCTCAGATCACCCCAAGTTGGGGTTTGGGATAAACAACAAACACATCCCCAACTTCCCAAGCTCCTCAAACAACCCTGGCAGCTGGTACAGGGCCTAAATCGGGAACTGGAGCCCCCTGAAATATTTGGCACTCAGTGATGGATGGCAGTGTTAATCAAGATTAGGGAAGATGGGTATTTAATTATTCTGGTATTGGCTGTTAGGAAATGTGGTGGGAGGCTCTGGCTGCTGCTGGCGGAGTCGGGAGTGTTAAACCAGAAGTCGGCACCACATTTGGTTGGATAAAATATGGGTTTTGTTTTGTTTTTTTTTTCGACTTAAGCATCCCAGACAGCCATTAGCGCGAGCTGCAGCGCCTCTTTTTAGTGGTAATTGGGAAAAGAAAGCAGAGCAGCGAAGTCAATTTGTTTGAAAATCACCAAAATGTTCTCGGGCAGCGCTCTCGGAGCCTTCCAATCGAGCAGGGAAATCAGGACGAGTAAATCGCCTTCATTTGCAAAGAGTGGCACAAAGAACCTGCTTAAATCACCCTCTTTATTTTTTTTTTTTTATTTTTTCCTGAGGCTGTCCCGGCGATCTCGGGTTTTTTGGGGAGAGGAGAACTGCAGAGGGTCGGGAGGTGTTTTGAGGGGTCCCCAGAGGACCTCCTGAGCGGTGCCACCCTTGGGGACACCCCGAGGGACCCTCGGARGGTGGCACCGCGCACTCACCTGTGCCAGGTGTAGCTCAGGTGGGCTGCGGGCGCTTCACCAAACCCTCCCCGCGCTGTTTTCTCCCCTGTCTGAGCCCATTCTGTTTATAAACAACAAAGCTCCCTTTGTGCCGCGCTTCCCGGGAAGTTTTTATGTTCCTCTGCACGCATTGTTAGGGGAATATTTACTGCGGCTCCTAATAGCGGAGTGTTTTGGTTACCCGCTTCATGTGGGGAAAGGCTGTTTTCTGATGACTCACTCATTGAATTTCCCATTTCCTACCGAATTAARCTCCCCAGGAACCTCTTTCTCCCCATCCAAAGGAGAGGTCTGTTAGCAAATTAACCTAGAAATCCTTCTGGGTGCAGATATCCAGAGGTGYTTCATCACCAAAAGGTGCGGGCTGGCTCCGAGAAGAAATATTTAAAAAAGAAAAAAATTAAAAAAAAAAAAAGATTTGGGTGCCAAAATGCTTTTGTAAAGCAAGCCCTTGATCTAAAACTGATGCCTGAAGATCTGATGGGAAGTGTCAGGAGCAGAAGCATAATCTCATCCTTTCATATCCCCGCCAATTCCAGGCTTAGAGGGGGG